TGAACTATACTTCTTGAATAATATCTTTGATCACTAATATTCTCCTCTACCGCTTATACGTCTACTGACAATTATGTCTCTATGCTAATGTGGTATGGCAATCTGAACTGATGTACTTACGTACAAAGTCCTCCGTTGTAACTGACTAACTGACTGACTTATGCGCTCAAAAACAAATCCTACTTTATCCTAGTGACACATTACAACATTGGCATCATTCTCATAAGTCAACTCTTTCACATGCTTTCATCATATCAACATAAAAATTTTCTACAACTTCCAATTGGTTTAATTAAATCATCCTTTACATTTGGTTTCATTTTCAATGTGATTTGTTTGATTTCATCGTGAAACTTGAACCATTTTGAAGTGTTTGCAAATAAAAAACAATAACAACACCAAATTTAATTCTTTCTTTTTTTCTAGTTTTAAAAATTAAAATTTTAATTAATTAATTATTTATTATTTTTTAAATATTTTCTTTCTGAACAAACTGTTATCTAAGTTGTTTTTTTCTTGTTTTCGTCATATATATATATATATATAAATGTATATTTTGTGAATTCATAGACCAAATAAATAATTTTTTCCTAACAACTGAAAATACGAATATATATATATATATATATATATATATATATATATATATATATAACAGCAACCGGACTTTAAAACATGCATATCAATGATAATAAAGTGATAAAGTGCAGGGTATCAATTTAAATTGTGTGTTTTACTAACTATGATGATAGTGTGTAATGTTGAATACTGGTGAAATAAATAAATTATCTTGTATAATAGTGAAAGCAATAGAAATAGGAATGTAAAGTTTTTAAATAGAATTAAAAGGGGGGGGTGTCATGTTGATCAATAGGTTAAAAATGAATTGAAACAGCTAAACAAACCGTCACATCATCAACATATAGCCTGGTATAGATGTGTATTGGCCTAAGCTGTCAAACCAGGTTAACACATTGAAATGAAAATAACAAAGAAGCTTGAAACAATGTAGTCAGTCAGTTAGAGACAACGTAGAACTTCATACATACATACATCAGCACAGAAAGTTGCCGTAACCACATCAGCACAGAGATAAGGAATTCTCAAGCCAAATCCCATTACTGTTAGAGGTTGTAGCAGTGTGGTGCGCGCTACTTATAAGTAGTATATGACGCGAGTGAAAACGTAATGTCTGGCAGCAGAAGATGGGGGAAGAAGATCAAGAAAGGAAGAGTTGGAACACAATGGAATTTGTATGAAACGCATGAATAGTGAAATGTCAGACAATGGATTGATGGTGGATTGATGTTTTGCAAATTAACCGTTTACGATACGGTTTTCCTATTTTACTGAGTAACTGTAATTTGCGATAAATACAATTCGGTTCCCCTAACCTGTGTTCGCCTTCACTGCAGCAGTATTAGCAGTATTGGAGAATATTATGATTCGATGAAATTATTCAAGAAGTATAATCCAGTGAAATAAATTTTAAGAAGAGAAAAAAAGGTCAAACGTGATTGAGAAGATTAGAACTTGAAACAAAACACAGAATGAATGCATTTGCACCATTGCAAACGATTTTGAGTCATGTCATTCAAATTCTCCAACCAACGGTTACTACTGCATGGCGGATCCTAATCAGGTAGTCTACATACACTAACGTGAATCTGTTTTGGTTTGACCCCTAGCTTTCTTCCAGCCTACGCTCACACTAGACAGCATAGCCCTACCAGGTAGTCAGTGGTTGAGGATTCGTAACATACGTCGGACGCACCTCAACTGATGAACATTTACCACTTCATCAATTGATATGCCATCCTTACGTAATACCGTTTTCTTAACATCCGTATTGCTTATTCAATGGTCCCAGGATAAACGAGTAATGTTTTGAAGGCATATATGATCGAAAACCAGTCACCACCTACAAATAACCTCTATTCTTAGTGGCCATGTGTCACACCCATTAAGTGTGACGGAGAGAACTATTGCGTAGTAAACTCGTCCCGTGGTTAGCAAACGAATATCTCACCTATGCGATAAGTGACTCAGGTCGGTAAAAGCCATTTAAGCCTTCTGTATCCGTATAGAGATTCCTTCACACAGCAGGCCATCAAGACTGACTGATCAGATTGCAGGATAGGTAAAACACTCAACCAGTTAACAGTCTATCACTAGCTTAGATGCCAAGAAATAATGTAGAAGTATTGATGAGTAGAAAGACGAAACCCTGAGGATATGATTTCAAACAATAGAGTGAAAGAGTATGCATGTATGTATGAAAAGATCCTAGAATTCAAGATCAAGGCATAGAGAAAGAATAAATGCATCTGTGTGACAGTGCACTTTATTATATTTGATATTAACTGATTGGAAGCAATCAGATGGCAGCTTAAATGTACTTTTGTTTTGTTCTGTTCTGTTTTTTTTCTTTCTTCACGGAAGTACATCGTTAAAATTTACTAGTTATATATCTACATATGACCAATTAAAATATATAACAGAATTAACATACACAAACATGTAGTATTATTATGTAATCAAACAACAACATGATCACATTTATAGTAAAACAAAAATCACATGAAACATTGATAAATTAAAAGAGTAATCTAGCAATTACATTTGGTGAGTATAATTCCGTGTGAAACATAGAAAATATATCAACTAAACATCCATATATGTATATATACATACATGTATATATATAAACAATAATATAATCTGATACAAGATGCAGGTCAGTGTTAAATATCTACGCCTTGGATAAACAGCCGGTGCATTTATTCTTTGTGTTCTCTCAAACCCTAATCTTCTGGATTCTTCAACACCTCTAGTTTTGATTTTCTAAACTTTTCTCACTGAATCATACCTCTTAAATAATATCTTCTAATCCTAACCTCTCCGACTACTCCTAATACGTTTACTACCTCTTCTACTATTGGATTTAAATTGACAATTACATCTCTGTGCTGATGTGGTATGGCAACATGAACTGATGTACTTACGTAATAAGTTCTACGTTGCATCTCACTGACTGACTGAAACAGCTCAAAGGATGATAAATACACTGTTCTAAGACTTACACTAATGCAAAGGAATAACTCCACGTGTAGACCCTACGGGGCTACTGCCGGTCGTCCCAAGCATGAGTAAAAGAGGAGGGTTGGGATTGGGGTTGGCGATCCCATCCCGCAAAAAACTAACTTGCCAAAAAATGGCTAACAAGAAGAAATAATTCAAACTATATAAACTCTGCTCTGGGAGTTAAAAGGTCTTCATTTAAAAAAAGAGTTATGATGTCTCATGCTGAAAGCCGAGTTCCTTCGGAAGTCATGAGGTCGATGCCCACCTTCTGACAACAACCAGAACCCTTCCACGATGTGGGCAGCCGGGAAGTAACATCCGCCCTCATAACCAAACAAAGGAACAAATTTATTTACATCATTGTCAAAAATAGAATTATCACTAGTGAAAACCACTTTGATATTTCAGTTAATAGGCTGTATAATAACAAGATCATACGATGAGTAGTAGTATTTTTTTTCGCTTTCTATTTTACTCAAGTCAAATAATATATAAAAGTAAATATATAACTGAAATATCTATATTTCTTCATATTGAATACTGTTAAAAATTTCATTACAATTAAGTCAGTTTACTCTACTCTACTCTAATCAACTTTGATCACGCGTGTCAATTTTCGCCTACAGGTAGATCACATGTATCATGTTTATACATTATGTAACGTGAATTACAAGTGGAAAACTAATAAAATTAAAACATCAGAACAATTTGTAAACATTCAGTTGATTATTGTGTATTATTTATTATTTAGTCTAAATTGATGAATAGTTGTATGCTTATACACTAAGAAAACCTTTCTTAAAGATAATCTATCATTCTCTGAACGATTCAATATTGAGCTCGGTCATTAGCAAGTCAAGAAAATATCAAGCTTACATACAAAAAATGTCTCCTATGATGAGCTGTTAGTATTTACTTTGAAGAGTTTTTTTATAAATTTTATTTGATAACTGTACCTCAAAGTGAATAGATTTAATAGTGTTCTGGAAAAAACTGGTCGATTTGTTTACCTGTTAAATTATCACAACGTAGAACTTCGCATAAGAGTACATAAGTCCAAGTTGCCATACCGTATCAGTACAGAGACGCAACTGTTCAGTTCGAATCCCATAGTGTTAGAGATAGTAGGAGTATGAGCTCGAATCGTTTGCATCATTGGTGCAGGGTGATAAAGGAATGTGAGGAAGGTGTGGAGCTGAGATAAGAAATCTTAAGGGTTGCAGGAAGGATTTGTTTGTGAACAATTTGGTCTCGCGTGCTGTTACGGGTATGAGGGCAGATGTCACTTCCCGGATGCCCACACTGTCAAAGGGTGTTCTCTGAAGAACCTGAAAAGGGGAAGGTAGATTAGTGTTGATCTTAGAAACCCGGAAGCGTGACCGCAGAGCCCAAAAGACAACTGCTTGAGGCAGGTCATACACATTTTTATGTTTAGTATTTAAAGTGTTAACTCCGCTATTTTTAAAAGGCCTTATCGCCGGAGACGGAAATCGGTGAGGTGTGACATTTTTAGGGTCGACCTTTTCTAACCCCTCTTCCTTATGAGAAGGCAGCATCGCAGCAGATGCTGGTTGTCCGGAGGAAACACCTTGCTGCTGTCACACCCCTCCATCACAGTCAGCAGTACGACTTCGCCCTCACACCTTGAGTAGCTGCTTTTAGTCTCATCGTTCTCCAATCGACCTGCCTGGCATGGTAGAACCTACAGGAACATATGTTCCAGCCAATATAGCTCGGTTGAGTCATCAAGACAGGCAAGTCCGACCACTACGTCAAGGTAGCTGCTACGGTAGGGAAATTATCATGCTATATCAGCTGAAACATATTATATCTATTTAAACAAAAAGAATATTAAATCAATATTCAACAGAAATTACGATGATGAATAAAAAAATAAAAAAGTTTATTGAACATACTAGTCATAGCTAGATTTTGACACAACCGTAAGAATATAGGACGTGCATAGGGCGGTAAATGTGTTGTACACTCCTGATTAATTCGTTTCACCAGCTTTTCTTCTTCTTCTACGGAATTCAACTGTGATTCTTCTAAGGCTATAGCAGCCATTCCAGCTTTACCCTCTGTCCCTGGAACTGAAACACCGTACACAGTACCAGTCAATGTGCCGATAGCTTGATCTAAAACACGTTCCACTTCTGCAGTAGATACATTTTCACCATGCCATCGAAATGTATCACCTAGTCGATCGATGAAATATATATAACCCAATTCATCACAGCACATTAAATCACCTTAAATTTAAAAAAAAAAAAGAGTAGAAAAATAAATTTTAGCATTTTTTTTTTATTTTCTATGAAGCAATTTTTTACTCTTAAAAATATATATAATTTATGAAATAGTATAATACTTCGTCATATTTGTGTTTCATGTGTTATTTTTCTTCAAATAGTTATTATAAAGTTCTCTTTTACATATTCTCATCATCTCCAATCTCTCTCTCCCACTGAACATTCCTTTTTTCCACGTAACTCTCCTTCCTAAGTGAACATTCATTTTTTGATTTCTTTTTGGCTGAATTATTTAATAATAAATACAGTCAGAGATAAAAGAAAAGAAAAAAGAACCTAAGGCAATTTTATGCATTCAATGATTGTAATAGTTAGAGGTATTATTAATGAAATATTTATGATGAATTTAAAAAAAAACAAGAGTAGAGTGTTTTAAAAAGTAATAATAATAATAATACTAGTAATAAAACTATCTTTATCAGTAAATCAATTTAAATATATACTTGACAATTCTTAAATAGATGTGTAACTTAAATTGTTTGTATTAAGATAGGAGATATTGTGAATCGATCAGTCAGTCAGTTAGTTAGTTAGTTAGTTACAACGTAGATGTCTTTCCTTTTCACCTAGTCTACCTACTTGAGCATTAAAGTCACCAGCCATTATTACTATGTCAGAGCGCTTAGCTTTTTGGAGGAGGTCCGAAAGCTTTCTGTAAAACTCATCTTTAACCTCGTCTGCACTGCAGTCAGTGGGGGCATAGGCAGATATGACGAAGAGGCAACGGCGAGTGTCCCTATCCTTACGAGTCCTTACTGTCCCGTTTAGTCGGACAGCGCACAAACGACTATCTACTGGGATCCAGTCTAGGAGAGATAATTCTGCCCTAGGACTCAACGCTATGCCTACGCCAGCAAGACCCCTGGAAGCAGCATCAGGGCTACCGGATACCGAAGAGTAAATCGAGCTGCTTCTTCGTTTTGACAAGGTGGAATCAGGTTAATGACTTTACTAGGATCCTGTATGCGCGTTTCCGAGACGCAGCATACATCGATGGCACGAGTTTCTAAAGTCCTAGCTAATGATGCCTGTTGCCCTAATTGACACAATGTCCGTACATTAAAAGCTCCAATATGTAGTCTAGAACGGGGTTTCAAGAGACCAGGAACGACGTTTCGTGATCTCGCTTCGTCTGCATTAGCGGTGCAGTGAGAAAAGGGAGTGTGAGTACAGTTAGTCGTAGAGATAAGAGAGACATAGGGGGTGTAGGAAGGATTTGATTTTGACCAATTTGGTCTTGAGTGCTGTTACGGGTATGAGGGCGGTTGTCACTTCCCGGATGCCCACACCGTGGAAGGTTGTTTCTTGAGGGACCCGAAAAGGAAGATAGATTAGTGTTGGTCTTAGAGACCGTGGTGCGTGACCGCAGAGCTCAAGGGACAACTGCTTGAGGCCGGTCACGCACGGCCTTTTTATGAAAGTTTTTGAGGATTAGCTCCGTTCTTAAAGGCCCTTAGTGGGCACCCTTACCCAAGGAGACGGAAATCCGTGAGTTAGGGGGAGTGTGACATTTTTAGGGCCGACCTTTTCTAACCCTTCCTTCCTTGTGAGAAGGCAGCATCGCTGCAGATGCTGGTTGTCCGAGGGAAACACCTTACTGCTGTCACACCTCTCTGCAGTCAGCAGTACGACTTCGCCCTCAGACCTTGGGTAGCTGCTTTTAGTCTCATCGTTCTCCAATCGACCAGCCTGGCATGGTAGGACCTGCAGGAACATATGTTCCAGCCAGTATAGCTCGGTTGGGTCATCACGATAGGCAAGCCCGACCACCACGTCAAGGTAGCAGCTTCGGTCGGGACTGGAGATGATTAGGGATCAAAGATATTATTCAAGAAGTATAATTCAGTGAAATTTAGAAAGAGAAAGATAAAAGTGGTGAGCATTTCAGAACACAATGAGTGGATGCACCCACACCATTACAGAACGTTCGGTCAGATTTTGCCAACCTGCGTCACTTATAGCGTAGGCGAGATATCCGTTTGCTGACTATAGGACGAGTGTACTGCGCAGTAGTTCGCATCGTCTTACTTTATGGCTGTGAAACATGGCCAATGAGAGTAGAAGATATTCGTAGGTTATTGGTTTTCGATAATAGGTGTCTTCGAAGCATTGCTCGTATACCGTGGGACAACCGAGTGAGCAACGCAGTTATTAGGACACGGGGTGCTAGGTAAGAATGGCAGATCAATAGATGAAGTAATGAAACTTCATCAGTTGAGGTGGTTGGGTCATGTGTTCCGAATGCCTAATCACCGGCTACCTCGACGAGCTTTGTTTTATAGTGTAGGAATAGGTTGGAATAAAGCTAAGGGCGGCCAAACCAAAACATGGCAGAAATCCATGAAGTCATTGACGAGTGGACTGAGCCATGTCGTTAGTTGTCGACTACTTGGTTGGGGTCCGCGAGATGATAATAATCGATGGTTAGAGACCTTGAATGACATGACTCAAAACCGTTTGCAATGGCGCCGGTGCATTTATTCTTTGTGTTCTCTCAAATCCTAATCTTCTGGATTCTTCAACAACTCTAGTTTTGAATTTCTAAACTTTTCTCACTGAACCATATTTCTTGAATATCTTCTAATCCTAACCTCTCCGATTACTTCTGATACCTTAACTAGCTCTTCTACTATTGGATTTGAATTGACAATTACATCTGTGTGCTGATGTGGTATGGCAACATGAACTGATGTACTTACGTACGAAGTTCTACGTTGCATCTAACTGACTGACCCATGCCATTGCAAACGATTTTGAGCCAAGTCATTCAAAGTTTCTAATCACCGGTTACTATAGTCTCGCGGACCCCAAACCAGGTAGTCAACATTTACCAACAAGACTTAATCCACCTGTCAGTGACTCCATGTATTCGTGTCATGTTTTGGTTTGGTCGCCCTTAGCTTTCTTTCAACCTACTCCTCTACACCACAAAACATTGCCTCAACAAGCAATGTTTTGTCGGATATGTCAGACGTTTAGATAGGTTTATTCCTTCCTTAGATTACAATGAAAATTCATATTGATTTATGGTAACATGAAAAAGTTTCAATAGATTCAAGACTCCCGAAATAGCAACACAAACTATCATCATACGAACAGTGTGTGTGACTCAAAGTTAAATGACAATATGAAGGACTGGCATTACCAGAAAGTTACATAAAACGATTGGATTAACAAAAGACCTTTTTATTCGAATACTGAACCAATAAATATAACATAGATAATATTGTCTATCCAGTATGTTAATAGTCATGCATTGATCATGCATAGTATCACTACAATATTCAAAATACAGCATCAATCAGTCAGTCAGATGCAACGTAGAACTTCGTACGTAAGTACATCAGTACATCAGCATCAATACAATTTCGTAACACATTTTTTTTCAAGAATTATCTCAAGTATAATAAATGTGAATCTAAATCAATCGGTGTTTACAAACGAAAATCCAAATCCAATATTTCAAATAATATGATGATTCAAACATTGAAAAAAAACACCAGTTGAACAATAAGAATTTTTTTAACCACAAATAAAATCAATGATGATTATTGGATCAACCTAATAATAAATGTATCACACACTTGTTCAAAAAAACTCACTGCATGTACAAATTAGATTTAAAGATAAAAATGACTACACAATCAACTAAATCACTAAATATATAAAACTTGTCACGTAAAAATAATAAGAATGAAATGTATTTGAAATTGAGCAACCGAAATTTAATCACTTGGTTAATAGAATCAATCAATCATATGTAATGAATAAAATGACTTTGCAAAGAAAATTAGCTAATCAAATTATTCAGATAAATAAATATATAGACAGATAGATAGATAGATCACGGTAAAACAAAGTTTTACAATTACACTTACAATAGTATCGGTAATGTATTATGAACATTGAATAGTAAGGTTGAATTCAACAACTTGGCATTAAAATATCAAGCGTTGAATACATAGATAATTTCTTGTTAGTGATTTTTTTAGGCGAATCAAGGACGAGTCTAACGCGCAGCAGTTCGTTCCGTCCTACTTTATGGATTCGAAACATGGCCAGTAAGAGTATATATTCGTAGGTTACTGGTTTTCAATCATAGGTGTCTCCGAAACATTGCTGGTGTATCGTGGGACAACCATGTCAGCAATGCTATAGTTAGGAATCGAGTATTAGGTAAGGATAGAGTAATGAAACTTCATCAGTTGAGATGGTTGGAATATGTGTTACGAATGCCTAACCACCGACTGCCTCATCGAGCTATGTTTCGCGATATAGGAATAGGTTGGAAGAAAGCTAGGGGTGGCCAAACCAAAACATGGCATAAGTCCATGAAGTCACTGAGTCATGTCGGTAGGTGTAGACTACTTGGTTGGGGCCCACGAGAGGAAAATAATCGATGGTTAGAGACTTTGAATGACATGGCTCAAAATCGTTTGCAATGGCGCAGCTACATTCATTCTCTGTGTTCTCTCAAATCCTAACCTTCTGAATTCCTCATCACCTTTATATTTTTAAGTTTATTTCACTAGATTCTAATTTTTGAATCATATCATCAAACCCTAATCTCTCCGATTTCTGCTAATACTTATACTACCTCTACTACAACCGCATTTGAATTGACAATCACATCTCTGTGCTAATGTGGTATAGCAACATGAACTGTTGTATTACGTACGAAGTTCTATATTGTTGTCGACTGACATAGATAACTAGTTTATCATGCTAATCATATTCTGGATCTTATTCGATATATTTCAAACAACAGTGAAGATATAAATAACAAGTGTAGTCAGTTAATCATTCAGTCATCAGCAGAGTTTAATCATAAATTTGATATTATGTGCACTGTATTTTGATGTTGAGTGATTAAAAGAAGGAGGTAGAATAACTTAAACCCAAGTTTTATGCTATTCGGCACTTATCCGACAGGTGCATCTGTAATCTTTGAGGAAATAATGTTTACTGTTGAATTCTCAAAAACCGTATTACTTGGCTTCCCAGATTGAGACATTATGACTAGCCTATTCGTGCTCCGACTAACCTTCTATAGGACCAAAGTGCTAAGTCACATAGATTACAGATCATACTGTAACTTGGTCGATAGAATCCAACTAGACCAATATATCAACTACTACTTAGTAGCCAATCATTATGAATATTTACATTTAAATAACCCAATGGTAACATCTCAGATTATAAAGTTGAGTGAAACAAGTTCAAACTACATGAGAAGTATTGGTTCTGTCAAAAATTGTAAAATTATTCTTCACTTCTCATTTCTCTGTGTCATTGTACTAACACCTTTACAATTCGTCCCTTGTTGTGTCAAGTTCATGGATAAACACAGACAGATAGACAGATACAACACAGAACTTCTTATGTGAGTACATCAGTTCAGGTTGCCATACCACCACATCAACACACAGACGCAACTGTCAGTTCAAATCCAAGAGTGTTAGAGGTACTCGGAGTATTAGCGGTAATGGAGAAGATTAGGGAGCGAAGATATAATTCGAGAAGTATAATTCAGAAAGATAAATTTAGAAGGAGAAAGGTAGAGATTATGAGGAATGCAGAAGGTTAGAATTAAAAAGCACACAAAGAGTGGATGCACCTGCACCATTGCAAACGATTCTGAGCTATGTCATTCAAGATCTCTAATCATTGGTGACTATCGTCTCGCGGACCCCACACAGGTAGCTTACATCTACCAACATAACTCAGTCCACTTGTCAGTGGCTTCATGGATTTCTGCCGTGTTATGGTTAACTTTCTTCCAATCTACTCCTACACTGCAAAACATAGCTCGTCGCGGCAGTCGGTGGTTAAGGAAAAGGTAACACATGTCCCGACCACCTCAACTGATGAAGTTTCAGTAGTTCATCTATTGACCTGCCATCCTTACCTAGCACCCGTTTCCTAGGCAGATACGACGAAGAGGCAACGACGGGTGTCCCTATCTTTACTGGTCTTTACTGTCCCGTTCAGTTGATGGATAAAAGATTATTTTAATTAACCAGATTCAGTCAAGACGCTGTAAATTTTATAAAATCCATTTAAAACATTTCTTCATTCAATGGCATTTCAAAGAAATTGATACTTTGAAAAGAACAATAGTGTTACACACCTCTTTATACTCAAAAACACTGTTATCAAACTAATCAATCATTAACTATATATCCATAGTGTTGAAACGTGTAACATATAAAATAATCTCACAATTTAACAACAATAATGATATTGAATAACTAACTACTTACCAGAAGCAAACCAACAATCTCCTTTACATAAAACATCTCGAATAATTTTCTTTTTAGAATCTTCTGCATTAACATAACCATCAAACATTCGAAAAGGATTATTCGAACTAATACGTGCTATCATATGACCCGGTTCATTTGGTTCACATAATATGCATAATCCAGTGACAGAATCTCTTATTGGTTCTTCAGTATTCAAATCAATTTTAATGATATAACATGGATAAATACCATCGATAATTTTTGAAACATAACCAACTGCACCGAACTATCAGGAAAAAAAATCAATGAATATCATAAAAGGAAATAACAATTGAATAGATTCATAATGAAAGCATACTCTGTACATTGAAATCACTTATCAATCATTGTTAGACCAGTATTAGAAACCTGGAAGCACTGAAACACGGCCGTTTCGTCCTGGTATGAGATTCATCAGCAGAGCGCATCCACAGGATTCGAATCCAGGACCTTCGGTCTTGCAGACAGACAGACAGATAGATACAACGCAGAACTTCGTACGTAAGTACATCAGTTCATGTCGCCATACCACATCAGCACAGAGATGTAATTGTCAATTCGAATCCAAGAGTGAAAGTGATAGTAGAAGTATTAGCAGTAATCGAGAAGATAAGGGAGCGAAGATATCATTCAAGAAATATAATTCATTCAGATAACTTTAGAAGGAGAAAGGTAGAGATTATGAGGAATTCAGAAGGTTAGAATTTCATAGAACACAAACAGTGGATGCACCTGCACCATTGCAAACGATTCTGAGCCATGTCGCTCAAAGTCTCTAACCATTGGTGACTATCGTTTCGCGGACCCCAACCAGGTAGCCTACATCTACCAACATAACTCAGCCCACTTGTCGTGCCATGTTTTGGTCTGGCCGCCCCTAACTTTCTTCCAACCAACTCCTACACTGCAAAACATAGCTCGTCGAGGTAGTTGGTGGTTAGCCATACGTAACACATGTCCCAACCAGCTCAACTGATGAAGTTTCAATGCTTCATCAATCGACTTGCCATCTTTACCTAGAACTCGTTTCCTAACGACAGCATTGCTTATACGGTTGTCCTAGGATACACGAGCAATGCTTCGGGGACATTGATGATCGAGGACTAGTAACCTACGGTCTTGCGCACGGACGCCTAACCTCTGGACCACTGGGCTGGCATCTAACGGTGTTAATGTCTAACTCTGATCAATTTACAGATTTTGCGAGACCTCACTCATTTGTCTTTGGTAGTTACGGCTTACACCCGACAGGGTTGAACTCCACTGGTCACGTCTTCGCACTAGTATTTCGAGACTCATCAGCAGTGTGCATCCACGACTCCGGCACCTTACAAGATGATGGTCTAATAATGATTAATTGATGATTTTAGTGTGCAAAAAACACTAATCTCCATAACTTTAATTGAAAGCATACTCTGCCAATAACGTAATACAAAATAACATCAATGTAAACTTTCATATGCTACAATTTAAATAGATGAACTTATAAAAACCTTATGACAAAATGAACACATTATCCAAATTATCTAAAGGATGTTGTTTAAAAATTGAATAAGTTGTGTTATTGAAAAATTAAGGTAATGGTTTACTGGCTACAATACCCGACCTTTCATAAGGTTACAAATTCGAATAACATTTTGATTGATTCAAACACTACTAGACCCTATGCAAACAATGTAGCTCGGATTTAGTTAGACGTACGCCACAACGTAGAATATTGAACAAATAAGTAAATCGATTCAGATTAATACACTAACAACACCTTAATAGAGAGAAATGAAACTGTCAAGATGAATATCAAAGTAGTAGAAGTCATAGTATCATTGATAGTTTGAAAGATTTGATATACAGAACAGTATGAATTAAGAAAAATGAGTAAATTGACAGAATAGAAAACAGTAAGTTAAAATCTCTGAGGATTCAAACATTGGATGAGGTAGATTCTAAGCTTTATCACTCATTTTCAACTATTGGTCACAATAATCACCCGAACCCCAACAACATAGGTTGCACCGACTAACAAGCTTCAAACTAGCAGTTAGTATTCAGGAAAAAAGAAACCACAGTTTTGTATGACCACTCCTAGTTTTATTTCATGCTATACCCGCAACAATCATCATTATACATTGAAGTATCATCTTCCAAGCACATCGATCGATGAAGATTCGAATACACCAACCAAACTGTACTTAGTAAATAAGCTACTTTTAGAAAATTAGAAACTAGTATTTATATTATCAATAAATAGGTGAAAACTAAGTTTGCATATCACTTAGATGTGTAGCAACAATGATTGAAGAAACGACAGAAAAAAAATAAAAGAATTTGGATTCGACAACTACAATTCCACATGTTAAAATCTTTCAATGGTAAATGGACTTAGAAATGAAGTGAAACTGTAGTTTACTACTCATTAAATAAATAAATGCAATTTTAAAATTTGGTAGGCAGATTTTAGAGTAATCATATTTATTATTAAAAGTTTTGAATGACATGACTTAAAATCGTTTGTGATGGCGCAAGCGTATCCATGCTTTGTCTTCTCTCAAATTCTAATCTCTTCTGAATTCCTCACTGGATTATAGACAGACAGACAGATGCAACACAGAACTTCGTATATATGTACATCAGTTCAGGTTGCCATACCACCACATCAGCACACAGACGCAACTGTCAGTTCAAATCCAACAGTGGTAGAGATAGTAGAAGTATTAGCAGTAATGGAGAAGATTAGGGAGAAAAGATATGATTCGAGAAGTATAATTCAGTAAGATCAATTTAGAAGGAGAAAGGTTGAGATGATGAGGAATTCAGAAGGTTAAAATTAGAGAGAACACAAACAGTGGATGCACCTGCGCCTGCGCCATCGCAAAAGATTCTAAGCCATGTCGTTCAAAGTCTCTAACCATTAGTGACTTTCGTCTCGCGGACCCCAACCAGGTAGCCTACATCTACTAACATGACTCAGTCCACTTGTCAGTGACTTCATAGATTTCTGCCATGTTTTGGTCTGGCCGCCCCAAGCTTTCTTCTAACCTACTCCCACACTGCAAAACATTGCTCGTCGAGGCAGTCGATGGTTGGGAATTCGTAACACATTTCCCAACCACCTCAATTGATGAAGTTTCACTACTTCATCAATTGATTTGCCATACGTACCTAGTCCTCGTTTCCTAACGACAGCATTCACTGGATTATACTTCTCGAATTATATCTTCGAACCCTATATGTTCTCCATTACTACTAATACACTGTTACTACCTCATCCACTATGGGATTTGAACTGACCATTCCACCTCTCTGTGCTAAATGTGATCATGGCAACTTAAACTGATGTACTTACATCCCAAGTTCTACGTTATAAATGACTACTCGATAAATGATTGTCATTTTTTAATGCATGTAAAAATAAAAATTCACAATTACAAATAAAAAACAAAACTTCAGTCAGTCAGTCAGTTGCAACGTAGAACTTCGTACGTAAGTACATCAGTTCATGTTGCCATACCACATCACCACAGAGATATAATTGTCAATTCAAATCCAATAGTAGAAGAGGTAGTAAAAGTATTTGAAGTAATCGGAGAAGTTAGGATTAGAAGATATTCAAGAAATATGATTCAATGAGAAAAGTTTAGAAATTCAAAACTAGAGTTGTTGAAGAATCCAGAAGATTAGGATTTGAGAGAACACAAAGAATAAATGCACCGGCACCACTGCAAACGGTTTTCAGCCATGCCATTCAGGGTATCTAACCATCGATTATTATCATCTCGCATAAAACAAAACTTAGTTAATATCAATCTGCGCATTCAGCTTACTTTATTATCCATGTTAGCAATATTAGCATTTGATTCAGTGGCACCATAAAATTCACCAATCTGTTTAACATTGAAACGTTCTTGAAATGCTTTCCATATTTGTGGTCTTAAACCATTACCGAATGCAAGTCGTATATGATGTTCTTTGTCTGTGGATCTTACAGGTTGACATAAAAGATAACGACATATCTCTCCAATGTATTGAGCAACCTAAAAAGTCAAAGAATGAAAGTAAACATTCAATGCAAAGAACAGTTTCAATCTGTTATGAAAATGATTGTTTTTTTTATAGAAAATATTCGATTATTAGATCACGGTGTGGGCAGCCGGGAAGTGACAACCACCCTCATACCCGTAACAGCACGCAAGATCAAATCGGTCACAAACAAATCCTTCATACACCCCCTAATATCTCTCTTATCTCCGCGACTAACTCTTTTCACAATACTTTATCATGCTGCACTGTTAATGCGAACGATGCAAGTTTACGAAAGGTTATTCCTGACAGTTGCATCTGTGCTTATGCGGTATGACAACCTGAACTTATGTACGTTCGTACGAAGTTCTGCGTTGTATCTGTCTGTCTGTCTGTCTCTGATTATTAGAAGGTATTGAAAAGTGTAAAGCAGTTTTTTTTCTACATAATAATATATGTCAATCATTTATTTATTGAACAAATGAACTTGATCCAGTATGGATAAGGGAGGCGGGACGCCAGTCAACTCAGTCAGCTACATACATACACGTGCATACATCAGTTCAGAGGTGGTTTCAAGATTATCAAGTGTGTGAGTCACAGGAAGCACCAAAGAAGACAGCGGTACGGCGATCAGAAAGACTACGACGACAGCTTATTAAAAGGCGGGACGAGTGTGGTGCGCGCTACTTATAAGTAGTATATGACGCGAGTGTAAACGTAATGTCTGGCAGCAGAAGATGGGGCGAAGATCAAGAAAGGAAGAGTGGGAACACAATGGAATTTGTATGAAACGCATGAATAGTGAAATGTCAGACAATGGATTGATGTTTTTGCAACAGGAACAGTCCAGTTCGATATGATGGATTGATATTTTGCAAATTAACGATTTACGATATATAGTTTTCCTATTTTACCGATTAACTCTGTAATTTGAGATAAATACAATTCGGTCGCCCTCACCTGTGTTCTCCTTCACTACAATACTACATCAGCATACAGAGATCGAAAATTATCACTTCAAATCCTATCGTAGTAGAGAGTTAGTAGAAGTATTAGCGGTAATGGAGAAGATGAGGGACATAGGAGAGATTGTTAACTTAACATAGTTTACATCATAGACTGATTTTCAGTTACATAACGCGGAAATAACTATTTCACATTTCCTGATAGCTAATCTCACTGTATAAATAAGATCAGTAGTAGACTGTCATATTAAAAATCAATTTGAAACTACTAGCATGCGTTCAATCATTTAGGCGTCAATCAAATACACAAAAATTCGTGGGATTTAAATAACTACGCACTCATTAACCATATCTATCTATGAGCTAATAATAATAATAATAATAATAATGATAAGAATCTACAAAGTTTACACTTTTAACAACAACAACAAAAAACATCTTATCTATTATAATAATAACTGAAAGGGAAGTGTACAAATAAATAATTGATTTTTAATGAGAATCGCTTGAATTGTTTATCAGCACGCAGAAAAAAACAAGAAATAAAGTTCACGAATCATTTTCTTTTTTTTTTTTCTTAATGACTTTTGCACCGAAGTAATTTATCAAGAAAAAAAAACAAAAATAATCTATGCGCAAACATTGATTACAAATGATTTATAATGATTTGATTAAATAAATAACTATTATTCAGTAGTAACACTTTGCTGTTATTTAAGAAAACTTAATGATAATATTACACTGATAAAAATTATTTACCCTGATGTATATCACTATGTATATACATATATATATCTGCATATTATTGGAATTAAAGTTATTTGGTTAGATCAATGATGTTAGACTAGCATTAGAAACCTGGAAGCACTTTACAGCCATTTGGTGCTAGTATGAGACTCATCAACAGTACAGAACCACAACTACGCAAGCGAGAGTCGAACCCAGGAATTTCGGTCTAGCGCGTGAATGCTTGACCACTTGACCACTGACTGAGTCGACATCCAACAGTGTTAATATAAAACTTCAATCGATTCATGATACTGCGCAATCTCATCCAATGTCTTCGGTGAATAACTACATCAAACTCGACACGGGTTGAACTCTACTAGTCACCGATTCTCACTAGAACTTTGAGAATTTTTCTCATGAGTTTCATACTAAGACGAAACGGCTGTGCAGTGCTTCCGTGGCTCTAATAGTGGTCTAACATTGATCTAACCACGATTTCAATGAGACTCAACAATCACCAGACAGACAGACAGATACAACGCAGAACTTCGTACATAAATACATCAGTTCAGGTTGCTATAACATGTCAGCACTGTTTGAACTGTTAGTTCAAATCCAACAATCTCCACAACTCTTCAATGATAAAATGGGATAATTATATTAGTTATCAGTACTAATAATAATAATAACAATGAGAACGAATAAATCACTCCTATGTTTAACCCGTTTATACAAAATAAAGAATGGAAAAATGAGATCTTTTTTCAAAAATTAATTTAAAACAATTCATTGGTTATCAATGCATATTCAGCAGGCAAATTAATATGCACAATGAGACGATCAGAATATCGTGTCAGCTGTGAATATATTGGTAAGTTGAATATTGAAATGAATCATTTTGAATGATCTTACATCACATAGAATTTATTAATCTGATTATCACAAAAGTAGCGAAATTCATGTAAGCGGGTTGAAGAAAGATTAAAGAACATTAAAAACTACATCACATACTGTCAGGTAACTTCAACCTTGTCGGCTAGTCAGTCAGTCAACAACAACGTACAACTGCGTACGTAAGTACATCAGTTCAAGTTGTCATACCACATTAGCACAGAGATGCAATTGTCACTTCAAATCCCATAGTAGTAGATGTAGTAGAGGTATTAGTAGTAAGCGAAGAGATTAGGGTTAGAAGATATTATTCAAGAAGTAGAATTTCATGAAATAAACATATAAAGAAAAAGATAAAGGTGATGAGGAATTCAGGTTAGGATTTACGACGACACAATGAATGAATGGATCTGAGCCATTGAGCCATCTCATTCAGGGTCTCTAACTAACTATTACTATCATCTCGCGGGCCCCAACCAGGTAGTTGATACCTACTAAAATGACTCAGTCCACTTGTCAGTGACTTCATGGATTTGTGCCATGTTTTGGCTTGGCCGCTCCTAGCTTTCTTCCAACCTATTCCTACATCACAAAAAGTAGCTCAAGGAGACAGTGGGCGGGTAGGCAAACGTAAAACACGTCCCAATCACCTCAAATGAAGTTTCAATACTTCAACTACTGATCTGCCATCCTTACCTAGGACCAGTTTCCTTACTATATCATTGCTTACTCGGTTGTTCCATGATACACGAGCAGTGCTTCGGAGACACCGATGATCGAAAACAAGCAACGGACGAATATTTTCTACTCTGACTGGCCATGTTTCACACCTATAAAGTAGGACGGAGGGAACTACTGAGCAGTACACTCGTCCTTTGGTCAGCAATGGATATCTCACCTACGCTACAAGTGACGCAAGTTGGCGAAAGCCAATCGAGCCTTCTGTATCCGTAATGAGATTTCGTCACTGTCAGCTAGTGAAGAAGTTATTTACCATCAATATTGAAAAATGGTTGAATAATATTCTAAATTAAATACAATTAGAAGTATAAACTACTAGATGCCAACTAAATGGCTTCGAACATAAGTACTTGAGATAAAACTTAAAGATACTAGTTTCAAACAACAGTAAGATCGTGCAGTTGCACTCCTCAAAAATCACATACTAGTATGAAACAAAAGTTCACCTCATCCTAGTTTTTAATTAATTGCCTACAACTACTACAAAAGTTGTACAGATTACAGCAAATAAATGTCTTTTCTTACCAACAGTTTATTAATTTCATTTAGAAAATGATAAACTGTACAACAAAATCATCAAAAAAAACAATAACAAATTATTAGATAGAACAAATGCGTACACAATGAAATGTTACAGCAGTTAATATAACTTGTTCTATATATGTATGTACAACCTGAACTTATGTACATACGTATGAAGTTCTACGTTGCAACTGACTGACTGACTGTTCTAGTCATATATAAATCAAAATTGGACTTATTCTAATACCGATGTACATGTATGATTGTTATTGTTGATAACTATCGAACTGTTAATGTTAGTAATGGCCATAGTAATGTTATATATATATATATATATATATATATATATATATATATATAATCCTTATCATATGAAAACAAACAATTGTTTTAAATATCATCAATGATCCTACATATTTTTTTTGCAATGACAGCTACATTGATTCATTTCTGTTTATGGAGTTACAATGTTGGCATAATTAAAAGAAACAATGTCAAGAAGCAGAAGATAGAACACAACTAATCCAATCAGTTTGTATGATGTATAAAGACTATAAAGAATTGAAGCCATCACTTCTCTATTTAAATATTTAACCAAAATAGTATAGTTAAAATAGACAGACAGATAGACAGATACAATTCAGAACTTCGTACGTACGTAAGTACATCAGTTCAGGTTGCCATACCACCACATCAGCACACAGACGTAACTGTCAGTTCAAATCCAACAGTGATAGCGATAGTAAAAAGTATTAGCAGTAATGGAGAAGATTAGGAAACGAAGATATGGTTCGAGAAGTATAATTCAGTGAGATAAATTTAGAAGGAGAAAGGTAGAGATTATGAGGAATGCAGAAGCTTAGAATTTCATAGAACACAAAGAGTGGATGCACCTGCGCCATCGCAAACGATTTTGAGCCATGTCGTTCAAGGTCTCTAACGATTGGTGACTATCGTCTCGCGGACACCAATCAGGTAGCCTACATCTACCAACATGACTCAGTCCTCTTGTCAATGACTTCATGTATTTCTGCCATGTTTTGGTTTGGTCGCCCCTACCTCTATTCCAACCTACTCCTACACTGCAAAACATAGCTCGTCGAGGCAGTCGGTGGTTAGCCCCATAGGTAACAAACACATGTCCCAATCATAAAATAAGAAATGATTATAACGAAACTGTTTCATCATCAAACATTCGTATTTAAAGATGAATAACACTGAAGAAAAAAATAAATCCTTCAAACTATACATAATCTTTGAAAATAATAATCATCTTATCTATTTCATCTCTTAATTATTTTATAAATTGTTCACAATTTTTTTTTTCAATAAACACACTTGAAATTGTAATGTTGTCTGATATATTTTACTAATTGGCTGATATTATTATTATTATTATTATTATTATTATTATTATTATTATTATTAACAGACATATATATATAGACATAACGATAAACTAATTAATAATAAAATATTTCTTCATTTTATTTGTCTTTTTAAACAAATCACTACTAATCAAGGATAAAGGTCACAACAGAATAATCATATTTACTCATTTGTATGTAATACGCACATATATACATACAGACACACACACACACACACAAAGAATAAAGTAGAAGTAATAGATAGATAGTTAGAGTGAGAAATTTAATCAACAGTTAGTTAGTTAGTTAGGTAGTTAGTAAGTCTGACAAGTACACTTGTTTCTCAATATGAATAAATATTATTCCGATAACTAATTAACAAATGTAAAGGTTAGTTATTAAGAATATTGCAACGATATCGAACAGAGCAGAGTTTAATCACTTGTAATCATTAACAATTTCAACATTTTATTCTAAAAAGATTAGTATCATAAGTATTTATGAAATTATGTGACAGAGATATTAAGTGTAAGAAGGAAAGTTCTAGCCTTCTCTCTCTCTAATTCTAACCTTCTGAATTCCTCATAATCTTACTGAATTATACTTCTCGAATTATATCTTTGCTCCCTAATCTTCTCCATTACTACTAATACTTCTACTATCACTATCACTCTTGGATTTGAACTGACAGTTACGTCTGTGTGCTGATGTGGTGGTATGGCAACCTGAACTGATGTACTTACATACGAAGTTCTGCGTTATATCTGTCTGTCTGTCTATCTGGGAAAGTTGTACACATGAAACTAATAGTGACCAATCATAGAGTGAACAAACTTTACATGGTTGTGTGATGAAGTAAGCAAGATCAATTTACTAAGTGATAACGAGTAATATCAGTCTAGATTAGTCAATCAAAATAAAAAAAAAGTTGTGAATTCAAGATTAAATGACATTGATGTGATGAGGAAGAGTTGAGACCTTGAACGACATGGCTCAAAGTCGTTTGCAATGGCGCAAGTGCATCCATTCGTTGTGCTCTCTCAAATCCTAATCTTCTGGATTCGTCAGCACCTCTACCTTTGTCTTTCTAACCTTATCTCACTTAATTATATTTCTTGAATAATATCTTCAAACCCTAGTCTTCTTCACTACCATGAATACCTCTACTATCTTTATCACTATGGGATTTGATTTGTCATTTGCATCTCTGCGCTCATGTGGTATGGCAACATGAACTTATGTACATACGTACGAAGTTCTACGTTGCAACTGACTGACTGATACAACAGAATAGATGTAATGTTACTAGAATAACGTGGGATTTATAACTGTTTCATTTTGAACGCATACATTTGACTTCAAACGTTTGATGTCTATAGTTTCAAAAAATTTGAGATGGGGATTAGAGGGTTTAATAATCCCCTTGGAAGACTTCACTTTATGTCTTGTATCAAGATGTCTTAAGGTGGCACTGCTGAGTATCTTTACTTCATTTGATGTTAAAGTTTTCGGAATTTATTCTTTAAATCAGAAGGATATGACAATTTATTCCACTAATAAAAGGGTGCCTATAGTTAGAATTGTTTGTTATGTTTTTACAACTTATGTCAATCATCTTAACTGTGTATCCATAAATGAAGCCTGAAACTAAAAACCATTTTTGACCTGAATTGTTCATAATTAATCTCGAACCAATTAATTATCACAAAATATATATTTTGATTAGTTTATGTTTGAACAAATAGGCACATTCATTTTCATTACAACTAACAGTTTTTACTATGCATGGACATTAAAATAATAGTTGTAAACAACTATTATTTCTACAAGACTGGATAAGCAATGAAAATGAGAAAATGCACGGAATGCTTTTTACGATATATCATGCATTATAAATAGACTAAATGTTTTATGTAGGCTGAGACTACAGTTTGACTAGTCAGAATAACTTCAGTTTAGTGAAGATTTGACTTTATAATTGCTTAGGCAATCAATCAACAGCAACGTAGCAATTCGTACGTAAGTACATCAGTTCAAGTTGTCATGCCACATTAGCACAGAGATATAATTGTCAATTAACTCCGCCAGTAGAACCTTCGGAACTACTGCAGGTCCCAAGCCCGGGTAAAGGAGGAGGGTTGGACATGGGGTTGGCGACCCCATTCCGTCGAAATCTAACTTGCCAAAAAAACGCTAACCAGGAAAAATAATCAAAACCACTTTAACTCTGCCCTGAGAGTTGGAAGAAGAATTATGACGTCGCGTGATGAAAGCCGAGTTCCCTCGGAAGTCACGGGGCCGATGCCTCTTCTGACAACCAGAGCAACCATTTTTTTAGGTACATCGAACGTTCGTACATAATGGGAGACTGGAAGACTATTTCAAGTTGCGGCCTATGCTCCATTGGGGGTAACAGGCGTAAGTAAGTAAGTAAGTAAGTAATAATTGTCAATTCAAATCCCATAGTAGTAGAAGTAGTAAAGGTATTAGCAGTAATCGGAGAGATTAGGGTTCGAAGATATTATTCAAGAAGTAGAATCTAGTGAAATAAACTTAAAAAGATAAAGTGATGGGAAACCCGGAAGGTTAGGATTTGAGAAAACAAAAACAGTGGATGCACCTTCGCAATTGCAAACGGTTTTGAACCATGTCATTCTACGTCTCTAACCATCGATTATTATCATCTCGCGGACCCAACCAGGTAGTTTACATCTACTAACTTGTCAGTGACTGCATGAATTTCTGCCATGTTTTGGTCTGGCCGCCCCTAGCTTTCTTCCAACCTATTCCTACATCTCATAACATAGCCCGACGAGGCGCTCGGTGATCACCTAGCAATACATTCAGAGCATATTTAATCGTAACTCATATCAGAAGTTTTAGTTTTAAAAAGATAACTCTATTGAATGGGTTTGGTAATGACTGTCCATGAATGGTGACACGACTTTTTCAATTAATCTCCATATCAAAAGCTGATTGCCTATTATAAAGACAGGGAAATGACAAATGTTTAAGCTTATTGGACCACAGAACCTAACTTAAACAAATCGTTTTGTTAAAATGATAGTAGACCCTAAGCTCAACGACAATAGAATTACTAATATCACTTAAATTATCATCTTTCCGTACAGATTTGGGCATTGATTAACAAACCACTTCACTTCAAATGGCTACTTGAAACTGATTATTCCATTGGACAAATCATCAACAGTGTGATCTTCAATTATGATTTATCTTTGTAATTTCATTTCGTTGTGCTGATACAACGTAACAACTGCAAACAATGCACATATTTGGTAGGATCTACAGTGCTAATGATAGACTAACTGGGTACAGACAATATCAACAGTGTAGTTTTGCTAAACAATTGACAAATAGAATATCAACTTAAAAAATAACAATTATTGAAAAAAAATATCATTACATTAATAAGAGAAGTAATAATCTTGAGATAAAAGTACAATAATACAAATGATAACTTACTGTACATTTATATTTTACACAATCTGACCAAAATTGTGATGCAGAGAATTTTGATCGTATTACAATTGTATTACCATTGATTAACATTTGTCCAACTCCACATATTCCACCAGCTGTATGATACAATGGTAAAGGATCATATATAATATCCGACTGTTTAATACCAAATGAATATTTAGTACCAATAACCATTAGAGTATAACGTGATTTTGTTACAATCGCTGCCTGTGTTTGTATAGATGAAGTAAAAAAAAGAAAAGAAAATGAAACTGACAAATAAGGGGCAAAAAAAAATCAATATGTACCGAAACGAGCATGATATGAATAGGTGTTTTTCATACAAGAACTGGTTAATAGAAATCCATGATTCATTAACTCGTTAATTTTGATTGCAAGCAAAATTTTAGTCATTTAAATTAACGAGATGAGTTAATAAAGTTTGAATCCTTGTCTTTCTGTATTCATTGGACGTCTTTGAAACAACGACCAGTATTTGGATACCAAGCAAAATTATCGTTACCTTCAAGCCCGATGATCCTGAGTATTTAACCAAGTTCTTGGTTTATTTTTATTCATAACAGTTACTGAAAGTATATTTCGACAAGACATGTATTAAAATTTAACATCATTAGTTAGTTAGTTGCAACGTAGAACTTCGTACGTGTGTACATAAGTTCATGTTGCCATACCATCACATTAGCACAGAGACGCAAATGTCAAATCAAATCCCATAATGATAAAGATAGTAGAGGTATTAATGGTAATAAAGATAACTAGGGTTTGAAGATATTATTCAAGAAATATAATTAAGTGAGATAAGGTTAGAAAGACAAAGGTAGAGGTGCTGACGAATCCATAAGATTAGGATTTCAGAGAGCACAACGAATGGATGCACTTGCGCCATTGCAAACGATTTTGAACATTATTAGTCATACGAATTATAAATAACTGAACCTGATCTAGCAAATAAATTAAACAGAACTCTTTCACTATGAAATCTAGACTTCGAGTATAATTCATATCATTTCTCAAATGTGTATGAAAATATATTGAGTACCTCATAATTCTATAGGTTTCTTTGAATGTGAATGGTTGATAGTAATTACTTTTAAAGTGATTAAATCTTGAGAAAAGGCAACAAGATATTTCATGTATTTAATCCATAAATATAGATTGATAGGAACGAGTTTTTCAATTGCTCTACAATAAATTTATACTGACATGTCAACCCTAATCTTGATAAAGACTTTTCTGATTTTGAAGTGAGTATACTTGAATTATTTATAACAATACTCAGTCAGTCAGTTAGTCAGATGCAACGTAGAACTTCGTACGTAAGTACATCAGTTCATGTTGCCATACCACATTAGCATAGAGATGTAATTGTCGATTCAAATCCAATAGTAGAAGAGGTAGTAAGGGTATGAGGAGTAATCGGAGAACTTAGGATTAGAAGATATTATACAAAAAGTATGATTCAGTGAGAAAAGTTTAGAAAGACAAAACTAGAGGTGTTGAAGAATCCAGAAGGTTAGCATTTGAGAGAACACAAAGAATAAATGCACTGGCGCCATTGCAAACGATTTTGAGCCATGTCATTCAATGTCTCTAAACATCGATTATTATCATCTCGCGGACTCCAACCAGGTAGTCGACAACTACCGACATGGCTCAGTCCACTAGTCAATGACTTCATGGATTTCTGCCATGTTTTGGTTTGGCCGCCCCTAACTTTCTTCCAACTTATTCCTACACTACAAAACAAAGCTCTTCGAGGCAGTCGGTGGTTTGGCATACGTAACACATGTCCCAATCACCTCAACTGATGAAGCGTCACTACTGCGTCTATTGATCTGCCATTCTTACCTAGCACCCGTTTCCTAATAACAACGTTGCTCACTCGGTTGTCCCACGGTATACGAGCAATGATTCGAAGACACCTATGATCGAAATCCAATAACCGACGAATATCTACTCTAACTGGCCATTTTTTACAGCCATAAAGTAAGATGAAGCGAACTACTGCACAGTACACTCGTCCTTTAGTCCGCAAACGTATATCTCGCAGACCCCAACCAGGTAGTCGACAATTACCTACATGGCTAAGTCCACTTGTCAATGACTTCATGGATTTCTGTCATGTTTTGGTTAGGGTGGATACTAGTATTTCCAGATTGTGAATAGATGAAAATAATCCAATTAAAAAATGAATCTATATTACATTTTAATAAAAATTTATGAAGTGAAGAAGTTATGTGAAATTCAACTACATCTGGAGATCAGTTGTTTATGTTTGTGTTTTACAATCTGATTAAGGATGAACAAAGGTGAATTAAACTGTAATTAAATACTGAACAATTTATAGAAACTAGTATGTTAGGAATCACATTATTATTATGCAATCTAATTCAAATAAACAGAAGTAATAAAATACATAAATACAGTTTCTACTTACCTTAGGTAAACCAGTGGTACCACTGGTATAAACGTAGATTAAGTGTTCACGGGAATTATTAATCTTTGGAAGTGGCAGTGGAGCACAGTGTGGAACTTGTGCAAGCGCTATGTTCCAGCTACACATTGAAGTAGTTGAATTCGAATAAGCAGTTTCTGGTAAACTGGCTTTCTCATCAACAAACCATGTCATCTCTAATGATAAATCATCATACCCACTGACTATTTCAAAAGTTTCTTTCAGAAATGAGCCCACAACAATTCCACGTGCATTTAACGCTTTAATACTATTAATAAGTGATCCTTTACAAAGGTTATTATTTATTAGACCAGTTGCAACACCAACCTGTTAAATTAAGAGAGAACAGGTAAATGTTTCCTGAATAAAATCAACAACGAAGAAACAATGTTTTACATGTGTAATACACAGTTATTCTATCAAATTGAGTGTAATGTTCTGTATCCGTTTTAGAATCAAACCTTAAAATGATCAGATCCTTGTGATCTACAGGTAACTGAAGGTGATTAACTTCTTCAGTGGTGTGCAGTAAGGCGTGAACCAATTATCTTGAACATCATGTCAGGACAAATGGTTTTTCTGTACACCTGTGATTTTTTTTATCTACTAGCATGAGTACTGAAAGCAAGCAGAGCCGTTTTCTACATCACGTTTTGGAATCTGTTAACAATTTTAAATAAAGTTACATTGGCAAAAGCAGTTTTTATGGATGCCTACCTCTAAATAAAAGTGGTTTCTGAACCCTAAGAATTAAGCAACAGTACATGATGCGATTTATTCCAAGATAATCGACAGTCCTTCCAAATTAATACCACTTCCGCAACCTTCCAGCAGATTAGAGCATCGGGATGACGCTCCGACTGTTATTATATAACCAGATGAACTTAGTAATTCGACTAAAACCGCATTACCAGATATCTATGAAAAAAAATTTCAGTTTGAAGATAAGAAATATCAATTTTCGAAATCAGTAAAACATCAGGAATTTATTTTTAACTCAATTATTAATCAACTTGGTACAGAACTCAGGTGGATTGCAGACTATATACATATAAAGTAAACACTGACAGACGAACTATACACACCTTAGTATAACTATCAATCCCCACATGAACTTAACGGCATAATATCGTAGGAATCACTTCCAGAGCATGAAATAAACTTTTAGAGATCGTTAGCTTACTTTAGCTGCCCCAAGCCATATTCCGATATATGCCGGACAGGAATGCATAAACAGTAGTAATATATCACCTCTCTTAAAACCACATTTCACCAAGTGATTCGCTACCTTATTGGAATAGGCATCCAGTTGGCCAAAGGTCCATACCTGATCCTCAAAATAAATGGCAACTTTTTCCGGTCCCCGTTTTTTTACGGTAGATTTAAATAAATCTGAAAAAGTTTTTCTTCTCCATTGAAGCCAAAGAATATTTAACTGAACCATGATCAAGCATCGTAGTCCACTATTAAGTAAATAATAATACTGTCTAATCATCTAAACCAGTACAATCGTATTATGCATCAAGTAGTAAACATTCAAAACAATTAAATAGAATTTCCAAACCAGTCTGGGTAGATGATGATTTAAGTGTACCTAGTAAAATATATCAAAGTCCTTAGATAGTAGAAACCATAGAAAAGACCAATCAAGTTGGCAACGATGCATGTCTAGGAAGGACAACGAACGATCAGTGACAAAAACTTTCATACTGTGCCAACTAATAATGGTGCTTTCATTACTTATTAAATGGTCTACCATATGAAAGCGTTTAGTTTTCTCTATTATATGGCTTGACGGCAAAACCTGAACACGTAATATCACGCCAAATACATCTTTGAACTTTATCATGAAAGTAAACAAATAAAAGTTAACTTGACAGATGAAACTGTAAGTAGTCACAGATGGGTGCACTTGAAATCACTTCTGTATACTGATATTTACATGTTATTTACGAATCGTTGAATCGTGTTTACTAAGATATATGAAATAGGCTATTAATGCTGATACACAACCGGAAGGTTTTAAAAACATATCGTGTACGCCAAAGTAGTTACGAAAATGACCATGATATACATTGTGAAACGAACGTCCAAATCTATGCGTAGCAAAGGTCATCGAAACGACCAACAAGAAAACCAGCACGATGAGTTCTGAGACATGCGACTAAATTGATGGGCAGTTTTGAACAAATAAAAACATTTTTAGTGGTGTTACAATCTGCATTTTAGCATATATGATTCGGAAACGTTGGCGTTTGAAACATACGTTTCCTAAGATTGTGATCCGTGTTTTTAACTACTCCTTCAGTAACTAAATGCCAAATAACCAAGAACTCCACAAAAGTAATTCTATTATAGTAATAACCTGTATAAGCTTTTCACACTCATTGTATTACCGATGGTCGTATAACACTTTAGCTAGAAATGTATGTATTTTGGATAAGCTGCAGAATAACCGACCTAGGACAGTAACAAGAAGCTTCGTGTGAAACCATGGACAGTGAGTCCATAACGGTTTGAAGAAAGCTTTCCTCATGCGGAAAAACCTTTCACATAAGTCGAGTAAAAACAATCAAACACAAGATGAAAATTGAATATTAGTTTCACACGTATAGATCAGAAAATAAACAAAGGAATACGAATAAATTAACATGCCAACTTATTTTAGTTACATTAATCATTACTTTGAAAACTTACAGAAGGTCTCTAAGGATAGTTAACAGAAAAACGCGTTGGTATCTCCATCCCCCAAAAGGTACATACAACAAATATGAAGCGATAATGGACTCGAAAAGTGATCTCTTAAGTAACAATTTAAGAGTGAATATAGACAGATGAAAGACATAACATGGTTGCCAGTTGATCACATGCATCTTGCGTCCAACACTTTTGAATATGCGCTCAGAGCTGCATTTGAAACTTGGTAAGGTAATCTTGAAAGCAAACAGCCCATTCAAACAACTTCGGTTTATTAGTTTTCACACAGTGCTTCTAGAATTTCCTATGACGCTTAATCGACATTAATAATCCTTCTTGAGTCTTAGATTTGTGATCTAACTTAAAACAAATTAGTCGTAAGTCTTTCATAACGAAATCACAAAGAGGTCAGGGCATATCAGACATTCCCACCATTGATCTTGGCAACCAATCAGATCCGTTTATTCGTGGCAGGATGTATCACCTCCGGTATCGTTGAAAGTTAGTATGAATGCAACATTCTCTTTTAACTGTGTTCGGCTTTCATTTTCGGTAAAGCCTTTTCAGCTAGAAGTGACTTAAACTGACATTTTCAACGAAATTTATATTGTTTACGTTGGTTCATGTGAGCTAAATCAGACGCCTGATCGTTTTTATACCATTGGTGAATATAGTGAGTCAGTAATATTACAATTTTCCATGTTCTCATTGTGGAGAACTAATTCAATGTTTCGAATGTTGTTTTTCACGAAGTCGTGAGATATTAATAACCTTCATCACCGGTTCGAGTACTGAATTGCAAATTAATAGGGTGCACACGAAGGTCTACGCGCCTATTTGTTATTCGTAAACTTCATTTCAGCCAAGCAACACGATTTCAGGAGGAGCTAGTCATATATAAGTAACCTGTTGACTGTGGCGAATAGTTAAACATAAGGAGACGGGATGAGACCATAATGGATGGACGGCCCTTTAGAGCCGTCAAAAGATCTCGAGAGAACTAGATCACTAACAAGGGTTTGAAAAGAGTCATGAACTAATCACAAGAAATGGAATCGGGATTTCAATTTACAAGCTAGGGTAAAGTATGAAATTCAAGATGTTTATCGTGAACTAACGCCAGTTATAATGATGAGTTTCCGGTCGGCCAAATGTTTGTAATTTCTGACAGGCTCGTTCACAAAGTGTTGACTTACCAATGAAACTGTAAAGTATCAAATCAACGTACAAGTAGTTGCAATGTAGTACCTCGTAGGTACGCTCATCAGTTTAGGTTACCATACCGCATTAGAACATAGACGAAACTGTCAATTCAAATTCCATAGTGGTAGAGATAGTAGGGGTATTATTATTCAAGGACTATAATTCAGTGAAATAGATTTTAGAAGAAAGGAGGAATTCCGAAGATTAGAATTTGATAGAAAACAATGAAGGAATGCACATAAGCCAATGGTAAACAATGTGAGCGACGTCGTCTCGCGGACTCTAGCCAGGTTGGCTACATGGATTTCTGACATTTTTTGGCTTGGCTGCCCATAGTATTCTTTCAACCTAGTCCTACATCACAAAACGTAGCTCGTCGAGGCATTCGGTGGTTAGGCATACGTAACAAATGTCCCAACCACCTCAACTGATGAGGTTTCAATACTTTATCTACTGATCTGCCATCCCTACCTAGCACTCGTCTCCTAACGATAGCATTACTTAGTCGGTTGACCCACAATACACGAGCAATGCATGGAAGACATCTATAATCGAATACTAATGACGAACTTGTGCCTTCTACTCTTACTGGCCATGTTTCGAATCTATATAGTAGGACGGAGCGAACTACTGTGCAGTACACTCGTCCTCTGGTTAGCGAACGGATATCTCACCTACGCAATAAGTGACGCAGACTAGCAAAAGCCAGTCCAGATTTCTGTAACCAAGCTGAGATTTCGGCAGGCACCAGGCCATCGGCACTGATGAGACTCCTCAAATAAGTGGAACGGTGTACACGTTCGACTGCTTCACTCCCTATCAGCAGTTCAGGTGCCAACGCAAGGCAATCCCGAAGCAACATTTTGCGTTTCTAGCGGGAAAACCACATCCCGACCATGCTTTCATTGTTGCTTAAGGTAGCCAAAAGACTCTGTATTTTGTAAGCGTCTTCACCGAACAGAACTATGTCATCGGCATTTTCTAGGTCAATAGGCGATCCTCCTGGTAGAAGGTCCACCCCTGAAAAGTCGGACAAAGACAATGTTGACTCTTAATGCATGTCTACGACAAAGTTAAACAAGAACGGGGAGGGTGTACATCTCTGACTTACACCACTTGATGTAGAGAATTCAGATGACAGTTCGCCATAAGCTCTCACTCGACCAGTGGTGTTCGAGTAGAGAGATTGTATAAGGTCAATGCACTCTTATGATACACCTTTTAATGATAAACACTACCACACAATCTCTTCATCGAGAGTCAAATGCCGCTTTAAGGTCAAGATATACTACTATTTTGGGACGTCTGAACGTATGTCTTTGTTCTAGGACCTGATCTGGTCTATACATCCATACACACATCGGAAACCAGACTGGTTTTTCTAGTCTACTCTTTAAGAGCACTGGCTAAGCGTTTGGGTATGATTGAGGCCAATATTTTTGATTCTATATTAGTTAGACTGATTCCTCTGTGATCCTTACAAGAGGACTCCTGTTCTTTTATTTGGACAGGAACAATGAGAGATTGAAAACAGTCAGATGGGATTACGCTCAGTTCCCAAAAACTAGGTCACGATCCTTAAAAATCTCAGGGATAAGCATGTCAGGTCCTGCTGATCTACCTCGCTTTAGATTTTCTATATCTTTCTGAACTTCATCAAGATTCGGAGGACTTACATCGATCTGCCATTCAGGTTGACTGGAGATGGTGGGCAGCCGAAGTGTGGCTGAGGGATAGTTGAACCGATCCCTTAAGTGTTCTGCCCATCGATCTGATCTGCTGGGTTGAGAATGAAGGATACAGTCATCCTTTTCTGTGATAGTTTCGCTAATACCGGTTTCCTTGATAAGTTAAAAAACAACCCTCACGTTGATTGACTGTTTTACTTCATATCTTAATCATCCCTCTTTTCATTGAAAAGCTAAGGACTTATAGGCTAGCTACAAATCGATCTAACTGGAATCCCTTAGTGTCGGCTAAGAAACTGTTCTCGCTTTAGTTCATATAATTGGATGATAAAATTTAAGAAGAAATTTGCAGCCAACCTGCTGGGCTGAAACTGCAAAGGGGTCTGACCAGACATCACAGCTAGGTGGGTATTACACTATGCATGTAAAAGACTGAATGTCACAGCTAATCAGGGTCTGATAACGTTTTGGTTGAAAATACCATTATAGTTAAAGATAACAAAGCTAATGTGAACGCAAGTCAGAATGAAGGATTAGTAAGGTATGTCAGTAGATTATCAGAATTTGGAGGAACCTGTGAATAATGCTGGCTGTTTATTGCAAGGGATGTGTAATATGACGCATCCAACGTTGATCTTGTGTGATGCATGACTGAACGCCTTCAGCTGGAGTGTATAGAATAGAACCAAAAATGCTAGCATCACTGTTGAAGACTTATAATAATTTTTATTTGTCACTACGAGTCCTAGGAGTCATGATGTACTGTCTGCATACCTACTCGAGAAGTAAACTTTGGAATTCTCTGAGATAATTCGAACGACTTCCCAAGAACCCCTTTAGAGGAAACTTATATATTCCTAGTAACCATGAAAATACCACGTTATGATTTACCAATATTTCTGTTTCGCTCGTTCAATATACCTGAGTGCATAGGTCATCCACTTTCATTATGTACGGAAGCTCAAACATGAGTGATGTGCAATAGTACCAACCTAAAAGAATCGTGAGGCAAAAATAGTTTCCAACATACTTATCACTTAATTCTGACTTAGCATACTAAATTTTAAATCCAAATATCAGGGAAGAGCTTTGTTTACATAAGGCAATTCTTGCTGTATTGTATCCTTGCGTGTTTTCGACTTACAGAATAAGATACTGGGATCCTGAATAGTAGAATGGATACCAACCACTTGAGAGTAGGAATAATCGTGACGAAATAAAGTGACCATTTTTGCTGACAGATAGCAAGCGTTGCAGCCAGTTCGATTTCCGAAATCTACAAAAACTCAACTGACTTGAAAATGTACGAGCAGGTTGTATCTATACTGCATGTAAAATGTTGTTTTCACAAATTTATTTGCAGACCTTTAATTCTAAGGATCTCGAAATGTGGATTGAAAGGAAGCTACTTTCCATTTGGTCCAATAAGGTAAGTATACGCAACAGTGATGATATATGTACCCTAGTAAGACTAAAGATCTGTTAGTAAAAAGAAACTTACAAATGCATTCTGTTATACATGGAGGACAGTTACAGAATTAATGCCAGATCGATCAAAATATGAATGCGAATATAACAGCTCTGAAGTACTGTTAATTTGGTTCTAGGCGTTGCATCTGAATAGTTCCAACTTCTCGCCACTGATATATTAAATTTTAGCATGATAGTGAACAAAGTGAGATTATCTAACAAAACTGGCAACTAAGACATCGACATGGTTGATATGCGATCATTCAAAAGTGTCAGACAGAAAGACTGAGAAAGTGAATCACTTTGCCCGACAAACACAAACCGAAGTAACCAAACATATTACAGAAACCAGTCGTTTATCATTTCTGAACTCTCGACCTCGATGACACTTGAAGATAAACTCATCGTTGTTTGGAAGATCAGTACGCTCAAAATTTAATTATACTTAGAGGATGACTTCAGTTCTATCATAAGCTCTGCTAATTACATCTCATATTCTACTTCAGAATCTTACACAGAACACATTCTGTTGTATTCATGCCTTTTGGATTGAGGATCAAGTAATTAATTATTACACTTAACTCTCAACAAATTCCATATTCTTGAGACTAACATTTCCCATCGAATATCTTGGGCTTATTCAAACAAATCCTATTAACAAAAAATATTCTACATTCCTGAGACTAACATTTCTCATCATACAGAAGGAAACATAAGACACCAAAGAAGCTCGCTAAAAACTGTCGCAAACCTGAAAGACTGGTGAGAAGCAAGGAAGGAAAAGTGATCAGCAACAATGAAGAACAGCGAAACAGGTGGGTAGAGCACTTTAAGGAACCCTTGAATCGACTAG